AAGCTAATAAATAGAATATTCTCTAATAAATTATTGAGAATATTATATATTCTATACGATTAATCATATGAGAAACTGTATATAGAAACTATATATTAGAAATTGTATATTCAATATTAATAAGGTAAGTTAATAATAACAAACAACCTAATTAGATACAAATCGATAAATCGCACTAAACAATGTAATCAATATGATAGCAAGAGTGAATTGTTTTCCGTATTTGTAATAAGGAAAATTATTAATACATGTTTTATTAATTTATATTCTTGCGCAAGTAATATCTGATAAGGAAAATTATTAATACATGTAATAGTTATTAGTAAGGTTAGTAAATTATTAGTGATCGACAAATTAATATTCTTGGCTTAATTTCATTATTGTGCAAGTAGTGTAGTTTTTAAATAAGCTAAGATATGGATTATTATATTTGATAGATTTAAAAATTAATTGAAATATATTAAAGAAAGTTACAACTTGTGCAACGTATGTATTATTAAAATAAGGTAAGTCATTAAAAGGAATTAACAAATTTGGAGTGTTTGGAAACGTCGATAGTTTTGTTATCAAATTACATTCGCGCTGAATTAAAAAATAGAAAAAAATTAAAAAAAATAAACCAATAAGATTAAGAGAATTAATCCTAGAAGCCCTCTATGAGTGCCACGTGTCGAGAAATCACTAAAGTGACTTCTCTTTTAATGTATAGGGGGATATTTCGTGTGAAATTTGAGGCTGCAAGAGGATGCTTGATTTGCTTGGACTTAAGGCCGCCTCTGCTTTTATGTTACACCCTTGTACTAAATATTTTCACTAGAAGATAATCCGCCATACGCGGAGTGAGATTTTTAGTTTTTACTTTTACCCTTGTACTAAATATTTTCACTAGAAGATAATCCACGCCATGCGCATAGTGAGCTTTTATAAAAATATGTTGTATTTAAATACATATTTGTTATCAATAAATTTTTTTACATTTGATTAAGGATGAACATTCGGATACCATTTGGTTTGGTTAGGTTATGTTTGGTTTAGATCTTTGTAGGTTTGGTTCCAATCTTTGCAAGTTCGGTTTGAATTTAGGTTCAGATAACCCTTTTTAAAGATTAAAGTTCATATTATAATTTATAATTGTGAAATTCTAAAAATAAAAATAATATATAACATATAAATTTGAAAAATTTATTTCAAAATACTTAGATTTAACATAAAATTGGTTTATCTTAAATATTTGGAAAAAAAAATCAATAAATATTTTTGGTATTTGAAGTATCATTTAGCATTTTAACTAATTTATCTATTTCAAAGTATTTTGGAAATTTAAAATCATCTCATGTATTTTGTATATTCTTAGATGTTAAATTTAAAAATAACTAATATATTTAAGTATATAATCTGGTTCGAGTACACTCGGATATCCAAAATATTTTTATTCAGTTTCGGTTTTCTTGATACCAAAATTTTGAATCCGTTTGGATGTCTAACTAGTTTTAGTTAAAATTATGTACTATTTTTTGGATTAGATTTGCTTCGGGTATTTGGATTCAGATTTTTTGTCCTACCCTATATTTTTTATTGTAACAAAATTTAAAACGAAAAGGATGACGGTTCATATTGATTTTGGGTATGCAATAATTTTTAAACCCAAAACACATTCTATTATGTACGTGATCTATTTAGTTAATCATTAAAAATTGTTTAAGGCCCATTAAAAAGACGATTGGTTGAACCTAAAAACGTTACCATTGATCACAAAATTTTCAGTGTGAGATTTTTACGATTTTTAGTAATTTATGGTCGTTTTTAAAATTTCAAAATATAACATACAAGAAAAAATCTAAAATTTTTATTATATAATTAATGTGATTTTTATTTTTTTAATAATATAAAATTAAATTAAAAGTAAAGAGGATAAAAAATTGTTATCAAATCTTTATTATTCATAATCATTAATTGTAAAATATATGTTAATCATATTAGGTAATTCCGTAGTTTTTATTTAAGGAAATAATAAAGAATATTTTTTTGTACACTACTAATTAAATATGATAGTTAGTTTAGTAGAAATATAGCATATGTTTAGTTAGACCAACATATCTAAGAGTTTTGAAAATTATTCTCCTTGTGATAAATGGCTTCTTCTCGTGACACATGGTTACAAAAAAAAATTGGCAGGCCGGTGCTTTCCTCGCTTCCTCTCAGAGCCGGTACTGCTTGTAACCCACAATTGTCAATGGTGTCTTAAAATGTCATCACATATTCTTTCCTATATAACATTACGTTTTGAGTATTTGATCTATGTATTAATTTTATATCAATTTTATATGTTTTATCATTTTTCTCGAAGTATGTTTCACTGAGCAATGCTAAATTTTAAATATGACACACTTTCTAGTTCTCATATTTTTTTTAACAACGAACGACTAATCTATTATTCGGATTTAAGGTGTTATGGATAACCAGACCGAAATAGAACAGCCAATAAAAAAAACTCTTTATGGAAAGACTTCGCAGTCCTAGCTAGTGAATCAGAAATAGGATTATGCGCTTGTGGAATATGAATCATCTTGAAATTTGGGAAGCAAATCTGAAGAGTCTCAATCCTCTCCCATGTTGCAAAGTTTGGCCAAGCAAGGGGCTCCTTAATCATAGCAATCAAATCATTGCAATCCGTGCTAAAGGTCTGACATATCGAATGTTGTAGCATACTTTCCATCGTCCATCGTAATGTTTCCACCTCTGAATGCAAAGCTGACACTCACCTTTGGTAATTACATGTTCCCATAAGTTAAATCTTCTCTAAGCTGTCCATCCATACCTATTCACATCCACTGAACTGTAATGTGGATGTCCAAGATCCATCTATATGCAGATATTTCCTAAGTTTAAAACTTTGGGTTTCGTCCATACACACTTTCTAGTTATTGAAGTTATGTTCGGGATGTTAATATTATAATACATATTAGTTCATGGATGTTATTATGTGATTCATATAGTTGTGTAGTTTTCAGGCCTTCTGTAGTCTAGGCATGTCAATGCATATACAATATAGAATGAATGATTCAATAGTATTGTATGTATATGTGTATTAAGCTATTCAGTTTTAAAACAACAATGTTAAAAGGTAAAATAGAGTATATTCTGGAAAACTTAATAAATAAACAGATTGATTGTTTGATTGGTCTTTGCTGCAAACGAAAAATATAAGGTTGCTTTGATTTATGGCACAAGCAACTAGCATTCACGTTGTTGACGCTACATGGGACTTAAAAAAACGTAAACATCATTTCGTTAAAGCTTCATTTTCATATTTTCTGTTTAACCTCTTTAGGTTCCCTTATATTCATTTACACTCATGTACAATGTATTCACTCATTGAACCTACTATAAATGCCTTATTAGCGAAACAAAAAGCGATTGTAGCATTTTACTAAAACAAAACGATTGTAACAAAGGCTAATAAGAAGTATTAGATTAAAATCCACGCCTTGCGCATGATGAACATTCTATATCATACATTTTCGTATATTATTATTATTTACATTTTTTACTTGTATTAAATAATTGAAAAGTCAGTAACATATATTACTAAATTGGTGCGGCATATAAAAAAAAATCCTTGTTACTTACAATTATTATATGGTAAGTAAATCCAAATAAGAATGTTTATATTTTATATTTTTCTAATTAAATTTAAATGATATGAACATCAATATATAGTAATTTATAATATGACTATTTATTAAAATTTCTTATCTATATGGTTTTATGATCATTTGTATTTTATAAACAAAAAAAAATTGAAACATTGATAACAAAATTTTCAATATAGAACGTTCAATATATTTTTATTTATGTATAATTTTTTTTTAAAACATTTCAATGGAATTTTTAAACTAAAATATAAAATTCTTAGTATTTATTCAATAAAAACTTGAAATCTAAATATTTATGAATTTTAAATAAAAATAATTTAATTTAAATGATATACATATATATATAATCTAAGATTTATTAAATAAGGCATTTTAATCATATAATTTTATAAACATTTATATCTTGTTATATATAATAAATAAACCATTGATCAAAAAATTTCAAACAGAGATTTTTAAAAGTTTATTAATTTATATTCATTATAAAAAATCAAAATATAACATATATATAAAAAATATTTTTTAAAATATTTTTTAATTTGATTGTCTAATTTATTTTGATAATATTAATATAAAACAAAAATGATAAAGGATGTATAAATTGTTATCAAATCTTTATTATTTAAAATCATTAATTATCATATATATTTTGATAAAATTAGGTAATTTTGTATGTTTTATTTATGGAAATAATGAAGAATATTTTTATACTAATAATCAATTATATGATTAGTTTAATGAAAAATATATTTTATGTTTAGATGGACCAATTTATTTTCTAAAGATTTGAAATTAATTCTCGTAATGACATGTGTCATAGTTCAAAGGTTATAATGTTTTTCTTTTAATATATAAGGGATGGGAACACATAGATTCCTTCCAAGGTGTGTGACAACTAGCTAATTGATTTTTTCCAAAATATTTAGTATATCTAAGTATATAACCTAATGTGACGCCTGGTGTGATCGTCTTTACATAACCGGATCATCCCAAACCGAAAAACAAACTATCACATAGCATCAACGTACGAATGACCAAGCTCTATGACCTCAAGTTGCAAACCTGAACCATAGCTCTTGGTTGATCCACTTGAGTTTATAAGAACTACTTTTATTCAGTTATACTCCTGAACAAAATTACCAATCATACAAAAGCAACGAGAAAAAAAAATACTTGCTCTCAGGACTCTCGTTGTTCGGAAAAGATCTAAAAAGCTATAACTACAATCAAAAATATAAAAATAAGACAAAATAAACTCAAAACCCTAGAACATATAGAAATGTTATTGCCTCTCAATGCTGGTCGTAACATTATTATTACCATTGTTACTGTCCCCATTCTGGTGGTTATTCGGACCGTTGATAATAGACGTGAGGGCTGCGGCTAGAGCCGCAGCAAAGTTCGGATTAGCAGCGATAGCTGCAGTAGCGGAGCTGACACTCTCGCTAGCGTTCAGCGACTGAGTCGGTAACTGTAAACCCGAGAACTTGGACTGCTGTTGGTTATAATACAAAGCCTGTCCCATCATTTGAGGCAACCCTGATTGGTTCATCTCCCCGAAACCAGACCGTTGTGGGAATTGCATCAACTGATTCATATTGGTTGGGCTGTTAACGTTGGATGCTGATTCTGTGAGGTCCAATGTAATGGTTGGGAATGGCGCAGAGGCTGAGATTGTGGCCATGCTTGAGGAACAAGGCAACATGGTTCGTGCGAAGAGATTTGTTGGGTTCATTAAACCGTCTTGGCTCGACATTTTGGAGCCTGAGAGGAGCATGCTTGCAGCTGCGGTTGTGGTTGAAGCCATGTACATAGCTGCCGGTGGTAATGGATGGTTGTGGTTTCCTTCGTAGGTTGTTATGAGAATGGATCTCTCTTCTGCGCAACGTTGCACCTGTTGGGTCATTAATTAGTTTATCAACAAATTTGATACATTTTTTATTGAACCCTATACGCTAAAACATATTAGATATTTAAATATTACAAATATGTATATGTATATGATCCAATAGTAATGTTGAAACCAGAGCTAAGGTTGTACCAGTCTACTATATGGTATTTTGTTTATAATAAAAGTTGAATTAATCTAGGAAGCATAAGTCTAATAACGTACTTGCTTGCGAACGGGGCATCCAACGGCCATCGTGCAGCGGAAATAAGCTCGAGGGCACGGGTTTCCTTTTGCCATTTTCTGTCCGTACTTTCTCCAGTGACACCCATCGATTAACTGTAAAGCATTATCACTGAGATTAATGTATTGACCTCCCAAACATTAAATCTTTAGAAACTAGAGAGTAAGGCTATTATATTGTTACCGTTGAAGCTTCCGACCGAGCACGGACCGAGACACGTGCTTTACGCATTGTGGCTTCAGCGGCTGACTGATCGATAGCATTCCCATTGCCATTACAATTGCTGGAGGAAGCATTGTGTTTGGAAACTTTGCTAGGGTTTCCCCAGTTGTTAGATTCGGTGTCCGGACTTTCTTCTCTCTCAAGTAATCTCTTTCCACGCTGACGTGAGCTAGAGTTCTCTAGGAGCGATAGAGGAGATTCTGACCGAACAGTCGTCCTCTCCTCGGACGACACTTCAGCGGTCGGTAGTCCCAAATCGATGAATTGTCTTGGAACCATTTCAGATAGTTCATGTCGTTTAGTGGCCTTGTCTTTGTTCTCGGTCGTGGCCTGATGAAAACAAGAGTTTAAAACCTTCACTAGTTAAACTTGGGACGTGCTTGTTTTAAATCTTGGTTGAATAAAAGATTAGGATAGCTATTAGATTAATAGTTACCACATGATGATGATCTTCTTGTTGCCTCATGACAGCAACAAGCTGCATCTGTAAGGAGTTGAAATTGTTGGTTGTTTGACTTAGCATTTCCTTTAGTCTTTGAATCTCTTCAGCTGCCTTTTTTAGCTCTTCTCGAAGTTGTACATTCTTCATTTTACCAAACACTATTATCAGACTAATTTACTATGTCTATTAAGAAGCTCTAGATAGTAAAACTTGTCCTAATTACTTAGAGTAAATCTATCTAATCTATAAGTAAATAAAAATAAAAATAAATTGTCAAAATCTATGAAATGAGTTACTATTTTTTTATTTTTAAAATTGAGGTATTAATTTAATAAGTGTACCTCAATCTTTGAACGTTTCTCCTCCATATCCACAGACAATCCATCATCCACCATTGACTCGTCGCTTCCCGTATGCGCAGTGAGAAGATTGAGTCCAGTCTATTTACAATAAATATATGAATTTTAAGGAACACAATTTCCATCTATAACGAGATCATTTTTTGTAAATTTTAATCACTAAATTGACAAAATATGATGAGAGGGTAAAAAATATATTTAAGATTAATAGAAATTAACTACTTACATTGATACCCGTAGAATGATCATCATCATCAACAACAGCACGTGAGTTCTCCCTTTTGACATGAACCCTATTAGTCTCCTCGGTGATTATATTATGATCATCTCTCTTCTCCGACCTGAAAAAGTCAACCTCGTCCATCATCGCCCGATGAGGCTGCTCATCTGACGGCAGTGGCTGCATAGGATTATCATGTGGACCTCCAAGACTCACCGGAAAACGAAACATCTCTTATAGATATCCTAACTTATAACTTAGATTGTGTTTTGGTTTGGAGAATAAGTAAGGATGATGCTCTAGTAAACAAAAGACACAAGTTTCTGGAATGACAAGTAAGGTACGTATCCAATCCAATCTCGTGTGTGTGATTGTTCCGTACCATATCTAATCCTCCATATATAGAGAGGGGAAGAAGGAGATATCTTAAGATAGAGAGAAAAAGAGATACTTGAGTTTGTGGTTAGAGACGAGGAAAGAGAACGAGACCTTCTTACCGAACCAGATGCTTCGGCTACAAAGAGGGTATTGATGTGGACTCAGATATTGTCATTTTTTCTACAAATATATCGAACGTTTTCGTTTTTTTAATTATAATATTAATCAGTTATACACTATTGTTCTGTGTCTATATTTGTTTTAATTTGGATTCTCGCGGAGAAGATATTTACGGGGATTTGTTTTGTTTCATTTTTCGTCAGTGTCGACGTCATTTGTCTACCATCTCGCCCTTGACCAACATCAATAACAAATGTATCATGCGACCCAACCATGTTTTTGTTATATTATAGACACAGTATGTTGCTGTTTTTTTGATCAAATAATTCGCAGAGTGAAAATTTAATGTTTTTTTTTTTGTAAAATGAAACTTTACTGTTGCTTACAGGAGGAGCTATGGTTTACTAAACTTTGCCAATAGGTGATGTTCTCTGTTCTTAAAGTTCAGTTAATTATTTTAGTATGAATATGTACAAGTTTGTTTCCAACGCTTGGATGGAAATAAGTTAGGATTGGCAATTTTTCAAGAAACTCTTATGGGAAATGAGATGGAATATAAAAGAATATATAATAATTAGAGGCTATTGTTTACTCATTGTTCATTTGTTTTAGTTAGAGACTTATGATATCAGATTTGGAGTTTAACCTAAAATAAAATGGTCAAAATAGAATATATTGTCAATTATGAGTGATATTTAGTTATATATAGGTGGATTGGAAGAGACATTATTTCAATGGACCATATTAGAAAGTCACATTTAAAACTAAAATTAGCTCTAAGATAATATATGAGAGAATGTACAATTTACTGACGGTTCATTAGTTATATTGCGAATTTATGACAACTGTTGAGTAAACGTAGAGAATGAAAAAGCATATTATGATGGAATGCCATAATAACCAGAAATTTTTATATATTAAATCATCCTATATTATATGAGGTTTTTGTTTATAGGTTTAGTTGAACTATATCAATATATATATATATATATATATATATATATCTATATATTTTTATATATACCAGTCTACCCCACTGAAAAATCTCGCCTAAGTATATTTTTTTCTAAATAAAGAACTTCAATCTATGAAATTTGTTCAAAGACTTTGTCCGAATTAGTAAAACATTGAATCCTTTGTTGATCAAGTCAATAAATGAGCTTTCAGAAAAGAAAAACTATTATTAGGGAAAGAGTTTTTTCAACGAACTCTTATTATAGATGAAATATAGCTTTCACACAACTTATTATTTTTGACTAAATTAAAAAAAGTTCTTCAAAAAAATTTCTTCTCCCTTTTCTGTTAGGAAGACTTTTGACTCGTTCACAGATCAGAAAATAGAAATGAATCTCACCGCTCGCAGTTCAGTCGGCGCTTCCCACGTGATTGAAATAACAAACAACTATAATTTATACTCCCGATTTAAAAGTAGGATGTTTGAGATTTTGCACATATATTAAAAAATAAGTAATTAACTCTTTTATTTTTTTTTTTAGTTTTATCAATAAAGTTTAACCGCTCATAATTTTATCTTTTAATTTAAGTTTAATTTTAAAGACAAATGCGTTAATTATATCCTATAAAACATCAATCTTTTATATAAAAGATAAAAATTTAGAACATCTGACATTTTAAATACGAAAGGAATATTCGTTAATTTTGTAGTAAGCAAAGCCGGCTTAGGAGGGAGGACAACAGTGCATTGGCCTAGAATCCACCTGAGATCCAATAATTTTAGCAGTATAAAGAGGCCCAAATTCTTTTTTTTTTTGTTGATAACAAGGAGCCTAATTTTTTTTTTCACTTTGAATGTTATATTTACACAATATTAAAAAATAACAGTATAGTTTTTTATATTTATAAAATACAAAATTAATAAATTTAGAAAAGTTTTTATATATGTTAAATTAATATTTTGATAACAAAATTAAAATTAATTAGTAATAAGGGCTTAATTTTTTTTTTGCCCAAAGCCCTCTATTTTGTTAAGCCGGTCCTGATAGTAAGTGTTATAAATCTTTTAAAACATCATTATTCGTTAGATCAGACACAATACAGTCGAATATTGTAGACGAATATAAGATAAGTTTGCTATCAAAGTTAGTGATCTGCATGCAAAACTCTTTTGTCAAAAAAGGTTGACAACTAAAAAAATCCTTTTAACAGAAAAAAAATTGACAACTAAAAGGTGCAGCGGTTTATAATATACCTTTTTAATTAGGAAAATTATTTTTTTCTATAATAAATATGTATTAATAAAGGAAAGAGAAAATTGACTTTTGATGAGCTTGTTTTAATCAATATGGATAATGGATCTAACTAATTATAGAATTAATTCATTCACATAATGATATAAAAGCCTTCAATGAGTATTTGTCTTAATTGTTTTTGATATTTTTTTAATTTTTTGAGTTTTGATTCGCATTTGTTCACAATCAAATAAGTATTAAAAGAGGAATATCCTGAATGTTGAAATCATTCACGTCACTTGAAAAAAATTACCAATAATGAGATTTCATTTTACCAAATCATACTACATAGAATAAACCGGGCCGTTTGTATATGGTTAAGACAATCCAAGATGTCTGATGATAGGAGTTTTTAGATTCCTATTCAAATGTTATAGTATAAAAGATATCGAACCAATTCTAAGCAATTATAAACCAATGGGACTACAAGACAAAGCTTAATCTAAGTGCTATCAATATTAAGATGGTTTTTAAAGTAAGAGAATACTAAATAAGCAATAAAAATCAAACTTTCTTTCAAAATGAGAAGGTAGAACTCATGGGATAAGGGAACTGATCTTGGGGAATTAAGTTCAATCTAAAGGTGTAAGCTTTTCATTCAATCTATCAACCTTAGGCCTAGACACATTCCTAAACAAACTCTATCCCTAGACAAATGTTCATTTGCATAGATAACTCAAGCATCTAATCTCTTAGGTTGAATGTTATCTAAACAATCATTAAGATCTAGTCTATTAACCATCCAAACAACTTTAACATCAAATCTCTTTGGTAAAGAATGTTAGAAGCAATGAAGAGTTGGTTCAGGTATTTCATCAAACACCTTGTGGGCTTGAAATACCTAAAGATCAATTCTAGAGAGGCCAACTCTAAAATAGCATTAAAATCACCCTACAAGCAAGGAAATAGATGGATCTATACTCAAACACCTTAGATCTAGCTTAATCCCCCTTTGATCTCCCTAACCCATGAATCCAAAGATGTCTACTCACTAATAACCATGATCACACTTAAACCTATGAAGGATTTAAGGTAAATCATGATTAGAAAGCAATGAAACACTTAAATAATCTCAAGAACACAAGATAAAAGATGAAACTTAGATTAAAGGAATAAACTTTTCACCAAAGTATCAAGTGTTTAGGAGAGAAAACAAGATAAGATCCCTAAAATCCTGCTTAAAGGTATTTATATGGTGCTTAAAAACGCTAATGGGCTTAACTCACAGGTTAATTAGGCCCAAAATAAAACATAAAATCGACATATGAATAGTGCTAGAGCGGGGGTCAAAGGTCGGGTGAGACCCCGCGCTGGTGCCCGCTTGAACTGGAGCGATCCCTCATGGTCGCGGTGAGACCTCGCTGCAACACTTCCAATATATTCTTCGGATGTCCTGTCCAGAGCGGGGTGCATAGGTCGGGTGAGACCCCGCGCTGGTGCCCGCTTGAACTGGAGCGACCCCTCAGGGTCGCTGTGAAACGTCGCTCTGACACTTGATACACAAGTCCTCTTCGGGTGTGTCCTGTCCAGAGCGGGATCTAAAGGTCGGGTGAGACCCCGCGCTGAAGCTCGCTCAAGATGGAGTGACCACCTAACCCCGCGGTGAAAGCTCGCTGTGACACTTGAAACTCGCATGTTGATCATTTCAGCCTTTCTTGAACCAAAACTACTCCAAACTCCCTTATATGCTTCTTAAGGTACTCCATCACCTAATGAAAAACAAATGCAAATGGATATGCAACCTAAAAATGCTTTTATGCAATCCTAAACTCTAATATGCATAAGAAATGGTTAGTTAATTCAATGAAAATCACAAGATATCAACTCCCCCAAACTTGTTCTTTACTTGTCCTCAAGTGAACATTTTAAGAACTTGTTAGAGAAGAGGTTTGAAGGTGGGAACTCATAACCAAAAGAAACACTTCTTAGTACTCAACTTAACATCCTAAGGGAAACATAGCAAATAGCATGAACACACTCTCTTATTGTACTCTAGCTTCTCTAGGCCTATCTTGGTACTCTTATGTCTTTAAACAAGATGCAATACTTTTCAATCAACAAGTTAACTTGAACCAACTCTCACATTCATTCACACACACACACACAAGGTGAAGTCTCACAAATGGGCATATGATCTCAATCATTTGGCTTGGTGAGCAAAAAGGTTCAATGTGAAACAAAAAGGGGTTCAAATACATTCTTTTTATGGTGGCTTACTCTCAAGAGTAGTAGCTAGATCATTATGCAAAATTTATCTAAGAAAAGGAGCAATTCATGCATACAATGACTTGTTCTCATCATTCTACCCCTTTCCTAAGTAATTCTAAGCTCAAATCTTCTTCTTTCAAAGCCCCAAAAACCCATAAGATTACATGTCTTCAACTCTCACCCAATGAACACACTTACCCTTTTGTTTTTAACCAACTAGGGATTCTTTCTCAAACTTTCATACTTAGCTCTCAATTCCTATCTTACTTCTTCTTTTCTTGTCTATCCCAAATCTTTCTTTTCATTTTTTTTTATGATTCTAAAGGGATA